TCAAATTGACCTAAAAATATGAAAGGCAAATCTCAAAATACTCAGGTAAGAGAAGTTTGGAGTATGTGACAAAGCATTACGCTTCTTAAATTGAGTCCCTCTGCCATCCAATTCTCTGATGAAGGTTTATCCAAGACATAATACATATTTATATACATGAGATATATATATATTTATTCACATACATATATGTAAATATGTTTATCTGTCTCCACATGTGCATGTTTATAAATGTTTTAACTTACATATATTTATATATTTGTGTGTTTCATATATATATGCATTTCATGCTAACAAGTTGAGAAAAAATTAAAGAAGAAAGAAGAAATAAATATTTTGTCTGAAGAAGAAAAAATCCATCACTAAACAATGGCTGAAGTCAGAGAGTTGAGAAATCAGTGAGTTGGTTCTGATAACTTAAAAAGTCCAACACATAAACAATATTATAGTCTTACAATGGCGTGACAGATTGATTCCCTCTTCCTAGAATGATTCCCCACCCCAACCCCTTTTCTGAACTTGGTTAGCTCCTATTTCATCACACCCCCTTCACAGCATTGGGAACGCGCGGTCTCTTCCTCTTCCATGGCCCCTGGGACTGCCCACCTCCTCCAAGCACTGACAGCCGACCTAGTGCTGGGTGCGTCTCTGCCACTTCGGTGCTGTGAGGAGAACCTTTGTCTCTTCAGCACTGTCAACATTTGTTGACAGATTAAATGAACAGTTAACTGAATAAGCACATGTTTGGAAAATATTCTTTTTAAAAATACTCTTCTTTGTTCAGGAGAAACCTTTGAAGCTTGTAGAATTTACTGAAGCATATTAGTAGAAACGGAATGGTTCTATTTAGAGTATTTTATCAAACATAAAATCTCTTGCTTCAAGCTCTGCTATCACCTCTGCAGAGGATACTTTAGCAGCCGTGCAAATTTTTATTGATCCGAATGACTGTGAGATAAGGGGCAAAGGTGTAGCAAGTCCAGCATTCTAATGGCAAAAACAGTAACACAGATTTAAAAATCATGGCCTTTTTATTTGGCCTTCTTTTATTTTTTTTCTTAGGGAAGGAATATGACTAAGTCACCTAAGTGCAGGGATAAGTGACATAAATTGTATAAATTCACATCAGAACAAAGGCCTTATCTATACCTGTCTGTTATACCTTCCTTTCAATCTTTTCTTGTTGGGCTTCTTTTCTCCTGTTTTCCTTTGGCACTTAATATTTTTTTTCTTTTTCAAGAGCAGGTGGGTTTCACTATCTCTACATATCAAGCAGGAAGAAGATTAACATGACCGTCACTAAACCCCCCCTTCCCAAAAGGACACTCCATCCAGGTGAGGGATTCTTCTATCACAAAGCACTTTGAAGTATCTTGAATGCTGGCACCCAAACCAAACAGGGTAGAAGCCCACAAGAAGGCAACAAGCGGCTCGGCTGTGGTTGCCGGAGTATTCGCAGCAGCTAACAGATTAGCCTGTCATACAGCAACCTGACAAATCCAGGCCTGGCAGATGCAGAGATGTAAATATGCTCTAAATATGTCTGCAAATTCTAACCAAAGAAAAGATTGCCTTATGTGTGTCTTACATGTGCTTATGAAAAATGAGTATTTTTAAGCATTATATTTTTATAGACTAATATTATTTTTCATCATGAAGTTTAAAGAGAAAACAACCCACCTGATGACATAAAATTTATATTTAAATGCTTCATAAATGAACACATACTCATCTTTCCTATACTTTTCTTCTGGAAATCGCAATCCTAAATTTTCAAATGCCATTAATCCTGATTATACTTACTGAAACTGAAATGAGGATCTTAAGAATAAAGCAGATGCTGGGAGCTAACTGGAAAAGTAAGAGATCATTTAGCAAATACTCAGGATTTTCCAAGGCCTGATTTTAAGGTTAGTTACATAGTGGAATCAAAGATATATGAAACATATTGTAGGACCTCACAGAACATGCAATGTTAAGAAGACAGTAAATAAAAACTAGTATGTAGAATGTAGGATAAAATGTTTCATACAGGTTTTTTGGCAATGTATCATTTTGAGACAATTGAAATTCTGAAGTTCGCTATAGGGATGAGAGCAGTATTGCTGAGGGATCTTATGAGATGACTATTTTCTCTTGCCATTCAACATGTCGTACTCTGCAAAAGCTACCTACTCCCATAATGTAAACCCCAGAACCCACACTGATGACCCACAGGGCTCCATCTACAAACCCAGGGGTGCTTCTCGGACCCAGATCCTCACCTCCAACTACTGAGGAGGCATCACCCTGTTAATGTCCCCAAGACACATCATACTCCACATGTTCAAAAACTCTCCACTTCCCCAGCCCTAACCCTTTCTCCTGTGTTTCTATTTCAGTAAATATTCAAATATTCTCCCATGTTCTCAGGTTCAAAGATTTGGATTCCTCTCTTGCCTTTTTCTTATCCTCGGATCAAATTTGATTCCTCTCTATTAAGTTTGCTGTCCTAAGTCCTAAACTAATCAAACAACCTCAAATATTCCTGCCTCCACTGTTGAAATGTGTTTATATTTCCAATAAAATGTTGCAAGTATCACCTTCCTTCATATTTTTTTCTCTTGCTTAAAAAGTACTAGTGCCCTCCAACCTCTACATACAGAACACTGACCAAAACTTCTTAGTTAAATTGTTGTTTGGCTCTTGTCTATATATCTAGCCATTTCTTCTTGCCTTGCACCATATTAGCCATCCTGGAAACAACCTCTCACACACTTGCACCTGTGCAATGCTGATCCCCTCTGCCAGGGTTGACCCACTTCCTGTGAGGTCCCACTCTGAAGAAGTTCTACTCCTCTTTCCAGTGTCACCTCACCAAGAGCTTTCCCTGGTAGAGCTGCACCCTGACTCCTCCCATCACTCTGCCTCCTGACCCTGCTTTACTTTTCTTCATAAAACATCACATATTACATAACTCTTTTATCTGTTTAGTGCCTGAGTCCCAGCTATGGAGAAAAACTTCTAAAAATAGAGCAAGACACATATTTGTGTGCTCAATAATATTTGATGAGTTCATTGAATATTTAATTATTTGGATACCATTGAATCTCATCTTTTCCTCAAGAGAAACAGCTTCACTCTCTTAGAGCAAGGTCACAGCCTATTTTGCATTATCGGCATGTGTGTGTGCGCACCAACCTGACTAGACTGAAGGGATTGTGTTCTACTCATATTTTTATCTTTTAGCACAGAATGAACACTCAATGAATGGATATTGAGCTAAATTCAACATGACTCCAAACAAAGCCATCTCCAATCTATTGAAATAGATTGTCTTCAGTATAGGAGATAATAAGCGAGAATGGGAATAATAAAAACTTCAAATAATCTTCATTCTGAACTCTTAGGAATCTAGCAGAGAAACTCTTGACCAAGAGAAAACCTGGAGCAGCTAGGGTATTTCCTCATTTGGAATCACCACTTTTTTAGATGTAATGCTCTCTATACTATTTTACTTTCTTTCTACTACACTGGCTGGGTCAGTTTTGTGTTTCTGACAAGCCGTTCTGACCCTCCCATAGAGATTCTGCTCCAGGCCACAGTGAACTATAGAGTGATTGAAAATCTTGAGATGGTACAAATGCTTTTATAAGGTTCCTTCAGGCTTTTAAGGAGCTTAAATGACTTCTTTTTCTTTTGGTTAGGTTACACTATGTTTTCAGGGCCAAGGTTTTTCTTTCATGTGAATACTTTTATATTAGATCAAAACTTGCTTTTATTTTATAGCCAAGTGTTCAGATAGACTCTGTGTGACTGGTGTATGATGCAAAATTGCAAAAAGTGGGGGGTAAAGAGGACATGCGGCAGATCACTGGGATTGCTTTAACAAGCCTTAAGAGTTTTCAGTATAACCAATATTTACTTTTCAGATGGTCAAAGCTGTTTTTTAATAAAATCATGAGACTTTGATTCTACAATGACACAAACAGCCTTATGTACAGGCATTTATTTATTTATTTTGCAGTCAACAGAAATGTACGAGCACCGGCCACACTCACAGCACAGTAGTCTCGATGGTAGACTAAAATGTCATAAAACACGGTCTCACTCCTCACAAGATTATATTCCCCTGCCAAATGTTTTCTTTTTTCAAAGTCAGCGAGTATCATATGGAACACCTTAATGTTACTTTTAAAAAAATTATTAACTGATTATGTCTTCAGAACTCTGATGCCACAGAGATCTAATATTAAAACAGAGGTCACTGCCCTCTAGGATGTGAGCGATTGGGACAGTCCCTTCTCCCACTAAAATTCTGCGATTTGGTGAATAATGAACACTCGAATGAAGATGAATAGGAAGACAATATTGCAAGTCTTTATGAAATTAGATGATGAAACAGTATTATTTGGAGATACCAGGCAAAAGTGGAATTTGTTTGTTATCTGACACCTCCACAAATGTTGATGCTTTTAACTTTGTTCTGTGAAAACACGTTTATGCATGGTAAGCAGATTTTAAGATTCTGAATGTCTTCAGTGCTGCAAATCAAAGAGTTCAATACTCAGGATAAATTGCTTGTTGTTCAAACTGTCTAGACCAGTTCTCAAACTTGTATTTATAACAAAGAATTGAATTGCCCTAGTTCAAAAATCAATCCACCCCATACTGTATGAAAGTCAGGCCTCAATATTATAAAACATTTCCCTTAAGATATATCTTTATAAAATTTTATTAAATGAACTGCTATTTGGTCAAACATCTATTAATTTTAATACTTCAACAATTGCATATTGCTGATATATATGAAGATTTTGAAAGAAATTGGGGCAAAGTCCCTGACCTTAAATGTAATCAATACTTTTCTATATTTAAACACAGCGCTTCTTTAAGATATAAAGTACCTAAGTCTATACCTCAAAGTACAATCTGCAAGTGTTGTCAGTCAGTAACCAAACACTTTCAGTGCAAAAGAAATCTGCCCCTCAATGCTCATCGCTGAGAGAGTGAATGAATACCTTCGGCAAACCCGTCGTTCCAGATGTGTAAAGAATATACAGTGGGTGTTCTGAAAGAACAGGGACACACTCATGCGACTGTGCTTTTGCCATCTCTTCATCCCAATCAAGGTCACGACCTGGAGCCAAAGGAACTGTCTCCTAGAGAGCAAAAATAGAGGAATATGCACTGAACAAAGGAGATTAAATTCAAAGAACAATGTTAGGCTGAGTATGGGACTTAAAATCTAGGCTACCTCTATAGCACTAAATATCAGATTTATAAATATCTCAGATAAATGTTCATAAGAAAGTCTAACAGTTTGACGTTGGCCTCAACTGAACTGACAAAAGAACATGTTTTATTCAAATCTAGGGCTCTCCTTAAGAAATCCCAGGTGATACAGTCATGTTTTCATCAGCCATCAGAGCTTACCTAACAGTGGTTCATGTCTTCATAAACGTACATACACTGTTAACTTTATAAACTAATTTCTACTTTTTGTTACCAATTTACTTTACTTTGGAATAATCATCTTTGCAATCAAATCTCAACTAACCCATTAAAATTTCTCTTTATACAGGGGCCTTTTAGGAGTAATATTGTGGCCATCTTTCCAAATAAGAGAATATTAAGTTATTTTTAGGGGTGATGGAAAAATCTACCTTTATTTTTTCAAGAAGAAAAATCAGTTTTAAAAATTAATAACAGTATGTGACATATCTAAAATGCTATGCAAATTTTCCTTGATCTAGGTCATTGATTAATATAATAGAAATGGTTTGCTTTCTTCTTGTTCCTAGAACCAAGATTTATATTGTAAACATTATGATAATAGAGTCATGAGTTGGACAGGTACACTTTAAAAGAAGGTAGGCACACCTCTTTATAACTTGCTAGTAAAATATGTCAGATAAGTGAAGAGTAATTAAGCGGCTTATGGAAAAATTGTTCTAATGGAGAGATACAATCTGTTTAGGTAGAATTAAGACTCAGTACATGTCTAGTTATTTTCTTCGGTGATAACTAAGCTCAAGATGACACATCAGGAAGCTTATAGTTGTTGAACTTGTTAGTATAGGCACAAGGCAAGATTACACACACCTCAGTGAATGTTAGTACGATCTACCACCTAGAGAGTATAGGTAACTAGACTCTAACTATAGAAAAATGGTCATATTTTAAGTGTATACATTTACAAATTATTTCAATATAACATCACAAACATAACACCTATATGAATATATACATTAATAGATAACAGTCTGAATTTACTTTCATAAAGGTGAAGTTTCATGCACCTCCATCCTTACTTTGATAAGCCCTAGATATGACCCTGAGATAAATGAAAATAGTTACTGTGACCAAATTGTATATTTTCACTTACTTTTATGCATTAGACAGACATACTAATTTCAAAGTGTCAAGGCTTTGACATCTGTATTATAGACCTATAAAAAATCATCACACTACACAATTAAAAATATCAATTGAGTCATCACAAAAATAATTATAGATCAAAGAAAATGAAAAATTGAATGAATGGTTGTTCTCTAGGCTAAGAAATACAGCCATGTGTAAAGAAGATTTGATGAAAGAAAGAAAGGGAAAAATTCAACATTAGCTTTTACATATATACACTTACTTCTATAAATAAGTCCTCCCTAGTTGTTATTCTTAAAAGGCAGTAATGGGGACAAGCACTGGAGTTGGCTGATGTGCTATTCCTTTGATTTGTCATTGCCTCCCTGAGGTTTAAGAGTGCCTGCCAAGTTTTTACTGGCAGAAATGCAAATCTGGTTAATGAAAGACTTCACTAAGCTTCAATTTGTTTTTCTCTAAAGTCAAAAAAAGCCAGTCCAATGGACTTAATTACTGCCCGAACAGCAGTACTAATATGAAGGACAAGTGACATCCAAAGCTCTCATCTAAAGCAAAGATAAGTCAAAATAGAAGGAAAGCTCTTAAGGAAAAGGCAGAGGGAGAAAAAGTGAGCCAGTTTTATATGGGAAGAGGAGAGGGAAAGTATATCTCTACCTATTAAGAGGAAAGAGAAGAGATTTGCATTAGAAAAATCTGAATAGGAAACATTCCTATCCATCGCCAGTGTGCTATAAAGTAAAAGAAATATGTTGGTTAAAAGGCATTCAGCTGGAGTTCAAATCTTGACTCCACTACTTACTAGCTGTGACTGTGGGTCATGATTTCTCCATGACTCAGTTTCTTTACCCACAACACGGGGCCAGTAATAACATCTATTTTATGGGTTTAAGAGAATTAGACAAGAAGTATTTCAAAAGTACTTTGCATTGAGCCTGCTGTAAGTTCTTTATAAATTCTACCTGAATTCATGTATGTGTGAATAGCACACACATATCCACAAAAAGTCTTTTGTGTGTGTGTGTTCTTACCCTCCTATAACCCTCTGTCCCCAAAGCCTTCCTTACTGCTGACTTTGCATTCCCTGGTTTAATAGCAACCAACCTTTTTAAAAATATGCTTGAGGTCATCTGAAATAAACTTAAAATTCTTTGAGACAGGAAGAGCATTAAAATCAGTAAGTGCAGCAGTTCATGAACCACAGTCTACTAAAACTTTACATGATAATTTAATGTGGTAATGGGAATCGCTAGGTGGTAATCAAAATGGCATAGCTTTAATGCTCTCTATTCTTATATCTTGTCATTTAGGCATTTTCTGCAGATAAGCTCTCAAGAGTTCCACAAAATCATACATGATTATTTCTACTCTTATCATTTTTCTTCTGTAAAAAAAATTTTAATCAGCAAGAAATCCAAGCTGGTTCCACTATAAAAATACCTGGATACTTGCTTGAATGCAGGAAGAAGGTGACCATCAGGTCCAATTTACTAGGCAACACAGTTGTAAAATGTATCTCTTACGTAGCACACTGCTTTGTCTTCCTTCATGGATCACAGAACACTGTATCTGTTTAGAGTATTCAAATTTTGCTTTCCTGAACGTAGTTTTTATCTCTGAACTAAATATCTTTACTAAAGTTTTTTACATTAGGATATTTTACATTCAAATTAATCACACTTGTCCACAAGACGGGACCGCTCAGGGATTAAGCAGGCAGTCAAAGTTCATGCATTCAAATCAGGACCCTGACTCTTATTGGCTGCACAAGTTTTTGTTGTTATTGTTGTTCATTAGATTAATGCTGTCTATCATCTAGAACACAGAGTTATCTGGAAGTTTTTTAAACTGTTGTTCAAGTACAGTTGTCTCTATTTCCCTGCCACCACTTTCCCCTGCCCACCCACCCCTACTTTCCACCCTCGATCCTACCCCGCTTTGGGTCCCTGGGTTCTTTATACATGTTCCTTGATGACCCTTCCCTTGTTTAAAATGATTCACTAGTAGAATGTATTAAAAATCCTATAGTTGGTAGTCAGTGTTTGCTAGTACTATTTTTATTGTTATAATTTAAATTAATAAATGATATAATAATAGACTACACAGAGAATCGATTCATTGATATTACAGCTATTTTTTTATCTCTTTTTTATTACTCCTCACCTGAGGATATACTTACTGATTTGAGAGAGAGAGAGAAACACGGATGTGAGAAAGCAGCATCGATTGGTCGCCCCCAGGAGGCGGCCCCTCCGGGACCACACCAACACCCTCGGTGTGCGTCCTGACTGGGAACCGAAGTTCCAGCCGCCTGAGCCACCCGGCCAGGGCTGTGTGTCGGTCTTTCTATTTTAAGCTAGTTTTTTTGTAAAGAGAGAAAATATCATTCGTATCTAATATCTCTTTTTTGCCAAAAAGAGTGACATTCAGGAAGTACATTGAACAGTTCATAAATCAAGGGTTTATGTGAAATGGCCAAAACCAGAGTCACACTTAGCACATCACTATAAGCAAGAACCAAATTCAATATTCAGATTACCATATTTGGACGATTATAAATGAGAACTTTATCTGGTTTGTGTTGTCCTATTCTCAGCGCTTCTTCTAGAAGTGGTATGTATTCTACTTTCCTTCCAGGTTCAATGCCAAATGATGCTGTAACAACCACCTTGGGCTACAATAAAAAAAAAAAAAGAGAAAGCTTAACAATCCTAATTAAGGTAATCATAGTATTTCAGGGGCTGGCAAGCACTTTAACACTTCTAAAGAAATGTCTGAATAATTCTGTTCTCTATTGAATAAATGACCCGAAAACCAATAAGCCTTTTTTAAGTGTGATAAACCTAACCAGTTCCACATAAATCTCACTTACCTATTCAAAATTACATGTCAACATGCTTTTGGCTAATAGGTATGAGCAGCCAAAAAATACTTTCCAAAGAGTTCATTAAGCCTGCAGTTTTGCCGTGAATCAGTGGAATGCAAGCTAGGGACCCCTCACTCACAGAGGCCCCGGAACAGGTGGCTGCTGTGGAGCATTTCCCGAGGTGTGGGTGGGGGCAGGCTCGTTGCTCTCAGGAAGGATTTTTAAGGTTTTATTTTTAGGTAAACATCTCCACTTAAATGTCTAGAGACCACAGAAGGAAGGTACCCAAATTTCTGATAATTCTTTAATGATTCTTTTTCATTCTAAATATATATTCATTTTCACCAAATATGTGCAATTCTGTCTTAATTTTCTGAAAAGGATACCCAAATGATTTAGGTTTTCAGCCCCACAAAGCCTGAACCTTCCTCTGTCATTAAGAACCACTTGGCACTTTTCTTTATTAGACAGCTTGCTAGTTATTCAAGATGTCCACAGATTTAGCCAAAAGACACCCCGGAAAGGGGCCACAGAAGTTAGGATTAATCTCCCTTCCTCGGTATACCCTGGGCAAGCCTCGGATGCCTGGCCATATAGTCAACGTTCCTTCATCCCCACCACTGCACCGGAAGCTCTCCAATGCTAACCCTGGATGCCATTCACCTCCATGTCTCTGAGGCCTGGTATACTGCTTGTCAGATCACAAGCTTTCAATAAATATTTGAGCTGAACCAAAATTTTCATTAATTTGCAGAAACAAATATGTCATTATTCTTTCAAGCACACTACTTCTTCCCCAAGAAATCCAAAGCAAAGCAAACATACTAAATTATTCAGGAGAGAAATAATCAATCCGAGATAGTGCATCTATTCCTGAATTCTGATTTCTGGTTACAATACATTTCATCTAGGGAAGGTTCATATTACACTAAATATATGCATATATAGCACTTCCTGCTTTCTGAATACCATTTAATATTCATGGAGCTGAGGCTCAGTGCAGGTACAAAGCCTGCCCAGGTTACAAGTGGCAGAACAAAAGGCCCATTGTGTCTGATTCCAGAAACTTTCTCTTTCTGCTCTACCAAGCTGCCATTTAAAAGGAAAAATAGAAAGAAAGAAAGAAAGGCTCATTTCTTTTTATTATATTTTTAAAGGTCACACATTTGAATATAATTCACATTTTAATATATGCAATACTTACAAAAATAACTCTGAGTAGCATTCTATAAGACTAGAATCCTAAATAAATAAAAGTTGCATATCAAATTAAAAACATAGAATATATCAAAACTTGAATAATTTAATTAAGTCAAAATTAGACTCTTCCTTTACAAAAAATAATTTCTTCTCATATTTCCCTTAGCCTTTTATTGGAAGCTTTGAGGCAGGGTGGGAAGAAGCTAGGAAAGTGCCTCGGCAAGCAGAATGGGGAAAGTGACACAAATACCTGAACAAACTGGCCGAGCAATTTACTGGCAGCTAATAAATCGCAAGGTCATGCACATTCCAGACCATGCTGGGACAGACCTGCCATGGTCCCAGTTCTTCTTTGGTGACACTCTTTGAATGTGAAACTAACCAGAAAATGATCTATACGCTCATTTTGATGCATCAGCATAATGAAGAATACACCTGAAAACCTGATAAATATTCTATTGAAATCCTCTCCTAAGACCTCCCCTAAAATTCCCATCTTTGGAAAACAGATAAAAACCCTTACGATAAAGGATCTCCTTTGTGCTTTCTCTTAAGCATGCCCACAACTTCCTTTTTCAGATGTGTATCTTTCCATTTTTTTTCCTACTCTGTAAAGGTCCTCCTGAGACTTGCATCCAGGGGAGTGGCAGGCAGTGGCAGCTTGTCCAGAGCTAACCCACTAAACACATCTCCAAGGGCCTTTCTTTTGCCTCTGTAGCTTCCCTGAGACCATACAGCCCAATTGGCTCACTTCCTCTGCCTCTGTGACTTTCATTCTAAAAGGCCGAGGCAGCTCTCTGAGCAGCCAGCTCACATCTTCTCTTTAAGTACAAGGAGGGACCCAAAAACCCCTGAAATTTATTTATAAAAAATTGTGTATTCATTATTACGCATTTAAATTTAATTCACCTCCAAGGTATTCTCTATTTGATGCAATACTCCTATTGAAACTTTTTCTTCCACTACTGAGAACTCTTTTTGAACTTGTCCAATTTTGATGTCTTTTAGTGCTTCTGACAGTTTTTGTTTCACCTCTTCCACAGGGGCAAAACATTTCCCTTTGAGGACTTTTTTTTTCATGTAGGGATCAAAACAAAACAAAATATCACTCAGGGTGAGATCAGGTGAATAGGAAAGGTGAATAGGGCACTGAGGTCATGCTGGTTTTGGTCATAAACTGCTGAAAATTTAGCCTGGTGTGGACAGGTGTGCACATAAATCACCCATCATGAAATGGGCAAATGCACCGAGTTTTCAAAAAATTCACTAAAGCCAAACACAGCCTCTCACAACAATGCCAGCTGGGACGCTCATACAGACGGATTTCTAGAACACTCACCCAGAGTGTTCTTCTGTCTTCCAGAAGACAATTCAGGTGTTTTTAGGTGTTCTCCCCTCATGTACTTTGGCTTTACATGGCTAAATAAAGTTCCTGTTGCACTAGAGTTGTTGGCTCTGAATTCTTTCTTTGCCAAACTCAAGAACCAAGAGCTGACATTGCTGGTAACAGTTGTATTTGGTCTTGACTTGTTACAATTTGTTCCTCCTATTTTCTGTTAAAATGAAATGTTTTCTTCAACTATTTATTTGAAAATCATGACACCAAAACCATCCCTGATTTCAGCTATTAATTGTATCCAAACATCTCTGATATATATCTCTATTTCCATCTCCTTGCCTTTAATTTGACACGGTTAATGGTCTTGCCCATAAAATAATGTGCTTATTGCCTAAGCCCCTTAAAAAGAGTGTGTATGTGTTACAGATGAAAACTCCTCCACTTATACTTATTTTTTAGATACCTTAATTTCCCCACATCATATAAAATTTTACAAAAAGGAAATAATATATCTCATACCTTTACCCAAATGGTGTTTTGATTTCTGGAGGTAAAAAACTGGCATCTATAACTTCCTCAGAGAAGTTTCCAGCTGCCCACCATGTCACAGGTCAATGACTGACTGATATTTCCCTCAAGATTTCCCTTCACACGTCCTAACTCAACATGTTTAAAAAGGGAGGGGAAAAAACAGCCTAAGCAGTTAGTCTACAAACCAGCTTCTACTAGTCGTTCCATAGTGATCTATGCCAAATGAAGTCAGACATGCAAACATTACATTATGCCTAACACCCAGTGGAACCTCAATATATATTGGTTCCCTTCATCATTGAGAATGTCTCATGTTGGGCTTGTAAAATTCTAAAAGTCACTCATCTCTTACTCTTATAACAACCTTCCTTCACTTCCTACTACTAGGAAGTGACACTTCCTATTACTTCCTATTACTTCACTTCCTATTACTTTCCTGCACATCATCCATTGCTTCACAAACAGACCGCCCACCAAAGGTTCTTATTCCAGCCTCTAGCTTCTGCCCCACTGATATCATATTGAAAGATTTGCCTCCTCTTAACATTGCTTAAAAGATAAAACTCATCTGCTCAAAAACTAACTGGCCAAGGTCCCCAGGATCTGGTTCAGACTAAACTGCCTTGGTAAGCTCCTCTTCTGTCCCTCTTCAGTCACATCAGTCTATTCACTGGCCTCCACATGAATTTCACCCATTCCTAACTTTAATGCAAAACTTAACATTGGTTTTCTCTCCTTTGGGGTCTCATGACATTATTCCCTTCAACTAGCTGAATTTTAGCCAGGATCTAATTCAAATCTCACATCCTTTGGGAAGTTTTCTTTGGCCACTCTTCTAAAATAAATCTCTCCTTCCTCCAGTTCAGGGGTGTGCAAACTGGCTGAGAGCCGCACCCTGACCACAGCACATTTCTGTGTGGTTCTACAGCGACACTGCCATGACCTTAGTGTAGGTAGCTTCTAAGGCTGCTTTTGTGCTACAGCAGCACAGCTGAGTAGCGGAAATAGACACCACATTACCCACAATGCCTAAAATATTTATTGCCTGTTAATATGCAGAAAAAAAGCGTGCTGATCCCTGCTCTCACTTCATAGAATAATAGTAGCTAGCCTTGTCTTTTTAATGGGTCTTGCATGCCAGGCACTATGTTAAGTGTTTTAAATTCCACATCTCAACGATGTTTCATTACAGCCATAACAAGGTGGTTACTTTAGCACCCCATTTAAACACGTAACCCCACTCCCCAGTGACACCCTCTCTTAACCTCTGCTCTCTCCCAGGAAGTATGTAGACTATAAAACTAGCTATGTGCCCCAACCATCTGATCAGTATCATTTACTATCCTATTCCAAGGATGGGAGCAGGCACACAGTGGAAGTTTAAAAATATATATGTTGAATAAATAAATTAGTTATTTTACTTGCCTTAGATACCTAACATATGGCAAACTAACTTTTATATTTCTCATAGCGTCTAGAAAGATGTCATTCACATAGGACTCAAAAATAAATTTTTGGTTAATAGATATATGCCAAAGGAAAAGTAAGCGTTGAGTATCCTGTTTGAAAGGGGGGTCTAACGAGTACAGATCACTGCTTGATGACTCATCTGCAGATGTGGCCGCACTACCTAGAGCTACTACTTGATTTCTTTAGATAAAGCCTTACCTTTGCATGATCAATGCGGCTACTTAGTTCTTTGGATGCGAATCCCCCAAATATGAGACTGTGGATGGCTCCTATCCTTGCGCACGCCAGCATGGTGTATATCGCCTGTGGGATCATGGGCATGTAGATGACCACAGTGTCGCTTTTCTTGACACCATGCTTGACCAAAACGCCAGCCAGCTTAGAGACCTGTAACAAAGTCATCAGATCAGCGAAATGTTTTCCATGCTACTCCACAAAAGGTTAAGTCAGTAATGCAAGAAGATGATCACCCTCTTGGTAGCAAATTAAAGCAGCTTAAGTAACATACATTTGATGAAGATGATGGCAGTGATTACAAGATTTGGATAGTGACAATAACAGACATCTGTATTTTAACAATTGACTACAAACCAATTTACTGTTATTATTTATTATACCTGTTAAACTACATGGCTTAAATTTGCTGAATTACCTATTTGACAACATAGTTACTGAGCAATTATTACATACGTTGTGTTTAGAGCTGGGAACATGACATTGAAAATGGACATGTCCCTGTGGAGCTTTTATTCTAAAGGGTGAGTCTGTCACATGAACAGAAAAATAAGATGATTATAGATTTAGATATACGTTCAGTTAATTGTTGAACAGATATATGTTATGAAAGAAAACATGTTATACCCTTATAAGGTAAAAAGATGGAGTCTATTATTATTATTGTCCTACTTTAAAGATATGGTAACTGAGATGCAGAAATAATAAACGGCTAAGCAGAGCGAGAAAGCTGGAAACTGGTGTGGCCAAGATATCATCACAATTTTTTTGACTTTGTGTTCTTTGCTCTTTCTACTGCAGTAAGACAATCATTTTTTTCCTTATAGTTTTTTATACATATTATTATATCTATACAAAGTCACCATCCTCTTTTTACTTTTAACATATTTTAAGACAAAACATACAAATGTCTTTATTCTCTGAGTGTGTTTTTTCAATTGCTAGTAATAAAGACAAAATAGATCATGAGCCCACACATGCTATGATTTATTGCAAGAAACCTTTCCATGTACAATTATAACAAGCTGTGAGAACTATGCCCAGACCTAAGTGGATAAGAACTTCAACTTTTGCTCATTTTGGTGTGGCTCAGTTGGTTGGGCGTCACCCTGCAAAATGAAAGGTCAGCAGTTCGATTCCTGGTCAGGGCACATGTCTGAGTTGTGTGTTCGGTCCCAGGTTGGAGGTGTGTGAGAGGCAACTGATCAATGTTTCTCTCTCATATCGATGTTTCCATCCCTTTCTTTTTCCCTCCCTTCCCCTCTTTCTAAAAATAAATAAATAAAATCTTTAAAAACACATGTAGAGAGACATAGAGTACCTGTATATGCCAGACACTGTTTTCTGAAACACCAGTAAGCAAAGGCCTCTCTCCTTAGAGTGCTCATGTTTTAGCAGAAGGAATACTTGTAATAAGCATAATAAGTGAATAATGAATCATGATTACCGTAATCACTGCTATTGAGTAGAGTGAAACAGAGGAGATTAGAAGAACAGGGAATATATAATTTTCAATGGGACAAATAGGGTAGACCTCACTAAGAAAGTGATGTTTTAGCAAAGACCTGTAGCAGTTTAAGAATAAGTAGCTATCTGTGAGTCTACTGTCTCCAGCAGAGAGAACACTAGTACAAAGGTGTAAGGGCTATCATATGTGATGTGAAGAAGGAACAGCAGGAAATCTAAGGGATATGAAACAGAAAAACAAAACAAAACAAGTAAAAAGTTGTGGTAGGTCAGGTGAGAGAGCTAAAGGGCCCGGTCAGGATCGGGTGGACAACCGGAGGGACTATGGGCTGCCTTTAAATGTGACCGTTCGAGATAATGAACAGAGGAGGCCTGAGAGAAGGAACTGTGCCACACGGCTATTTGTGGTTCCTTTCATTTCACTCTGCCTCTCATATTTTGAACAAGCTTAAAGGACCTACATCCTGACCATTCTTATTACTTTTTCTTTTTATTCACTTCCTCTGTGCAGATGGGGAAAGATATGGTCAAGGTTAAGAATGCTGGCAAAAGAAAGCAACAACCAACTATCAGTGTTTTATTCTCCTCCATATTGCAAACTGTAATTTAGTGCTTTTTAAGAACCCAAAGCTGCCCCCGCAGAAAGTTACAAGAAAAATACATCAAAGTATTATAAATTGCAGACTTAAATTCTGTATGGTGCTCAGAACCAAGATAAACACTGTGAAGTTTTACGCAAACATCTCAGTGTGCAATCTCCACAGAAAGTGGCCGTGCTCCGTGATCACATTACTGGGGACCCCATTTAAGATACAGCAGTGGGAGCGATCAAAGAGAAGAGCTTGTCCTATTTACAGCTATAACCTTAGCATCTTGGTAGTGTCTGCTGGTGAATTTAAAATATCTCAACAAGACCCGAGCTAGCAGTTGATTCAGTAACTTTATATTGCAGTCCCCCTTCACAATGCTGCTGAAAGATGGTAGAAACTTTTTCTGTCCTCTGAAATAAAAATAACAAATTCAAGCTCTTTTTCGAAAGAAAGACCTCAAAATGGCTAAAGGTCACTCCAAAATGCATGTAACGTAGGGCCATAGCACATCCTTAAAAAATGAAACAACGTATTAATATTAAACGATTTCACATGCAAATCCAGATTTCCAGTTTCTCTTGAGAAACCAGGAGGTCCCTCGACACTGGGTTTGCGTTCTTGCACGACAGCTGTCAACTAAACCTGGTGATGGGCTGCTCAGTTTGTCATGCACTCCCCACTCCGAGACTGTTTATCGCACAGCCTGCATTTTCCTTTCCATTCTGAATTTAAAATAATTTCTTTATAGCCTGTTCATGTTATGTGGTTACAGCATAGCTTCATAACCACGGAATGAGATATATGCCAAGAATTGATTTTTTCTACCGCCCACTTCTCCCATTTATATTATCTGCTTGGCTCCTGTAGGCATCTTAACCATTGCCCTTGAAGACAACCTTGTCAAATTAGGCCGCACTGGAACTACACAACCACTAGGTGGCGGGCATTTGGCCTAGTTAACCTTGCTGCTAGCAGCTATTCCTCAAGGTTTTGATACTTTGCTAACCACAGCACAGACAACCTAAAGACAGGAGTTTCATATGATCAACGGAGAAAATGTATTTTGTAGTACTTTTTAGAACTGAATGTCACTCCAGTAAAATTATCCACTGTAACTTTTAAATTTAAAATATGTATGTGTGTGTGTGCGTGTGTGTGTACGTGTGAAAATGTATGGGAAAATATGTTTCCAATGAAACTTCTACTAAATAGGCTTATAAAAAACAAAGCATTAGCTCAGAGCAAGTAAAAAATAAATGGACATTGATTTAACATTAAAATATTTAATAATGTTTCATTAAAATGTTCCTTAATAATATTAAATCTAGAGTTGGTTGTTAATGAGAGCCCCAGAGCAGAATACGTAATAGTCTTGTTTCAGATGCAAATATAACCACTTTGAAGATAAGGTTAGGCAACAATGGGTGTTAAGAGGAAAAATCTGGAAATGCCAGTTACCTAAGAGTTCATAACAACTCAAATAAAGTGCTATGAAATTTCAACACAAAGGGCAGTTTGATGATTACTCTTTAGGGTGTATTTCGTTTTTATTGGATTTCAGATGAAAAATGATCAGAGAAGGAAAATAGATATCATTTTATCCACATATATTTCTATCAAATAATAGAAATGATAAGTCTATACTGGGATATCTATATCTCTTACCCGAGATATCCCAGTATAGACTTATCATTTTTATTATTTTCCAAAGGTAAAATATTTTACCACATATCTTGTGCAACCTATTGTTTTTCAACTGAAGAAGTTAAATCATCTGCAATTCACCCAATTCATAGTCCCCTTTGCACCTCTTTAAAACTGTGTTTTAATTTATGAACAATGTAATAGTTTTGTATTTGGCACACACCACTAAATTTGGTTTTTGTTCTGACATCAAGGACAATACACACCCCACTCAGCAAGGGCCAGGCCATGCTGCTCTGCTAGAGCGAGCGGAACCGAGCTGCGCAGGCAGCCAGGAGAAAGGGGACAAACGTACATCTGCACTTAGATGCAGCATTGTCTGCTCCTTCCTGCTAAAGATGTATGAAGTATCCTGTCATTGGCTCAGTTTTTTATACGGTATCTGCTATGTGTCCTACACTGAAGTCAAGTCTGCAGATGCAAAAATAAGAAACACATGATCCTTAAAGCAAAGAAATTCGCAGTCTACACACTAAACCTGACAAAAAGCTAATCAAGGTGGGTAGTGATTTGCTAGGTATCTTTCTTGACAAAGGTCAGTCTTTACTTTCACTGAACCTGTCCATGGTCTTTGCGCATCAAGGATAATACTCCTCTGAAATGTCAGAGTAATCAATCCCCCTGATTCCAGATCCTCAGGGCACAATTCCCCACCAGAGCAGCAGATCACAAATCCCCTCATTATTATCTTGTTCCCTATGAACCATCTCCATGTGCTGGAAATGTTGTTAACCTTCCTATACCCACCAATGTCAAAGAAGCATGTTTCTCTTCATTTCACTTTTTATCCAGTCTCAGAGATTTCCCCACTTTGCTTTCTCCCACCTCCCTGAAACACCACCAGTGAAATTCATGTAACCCCCTATGTCTTCTCCTTTGATTCTGATACATAAAATAAGATGTGAAACTGCCATTCTCCAGAGAGTTTTCTCAATCCATGGAAGTCTTGCTCCCTGGTGACTGTCAACAGTTTGACTCAAAGGAACTCATACAATTCCTACAGGTCTAGATGTTTCTTACATTGACAATAGCATGCAAAAAAAAGTAATGATAAAATAAGAAAATGCAACAAGAGATATTCATGTAATGTTAAATGGTATATGCATATATTTGGTTTAGATACAAAGTAACACTTTAAAACTTAGAATTATAAAGTGTAAATAATTTTAAAAAGATTTCAATAATTGTTTTATCTATTCATTTGGAAAAACCTTCATTCTAAAGCAGTCTATGAGGTAGTATAATTTCATGACCAGATGCCCATAATACAAATAAAAACATTATAAGCTGACTAAAGTCTATGAAGAGTGTATTAGCACTGGCCTCACAAACAGCAAATGTGTGCATTCAGAGAAAATCATGTTTGTGTGACAAGGACAGGGTTGGGTCCAA